AAAAATACTATAATATTCTACAGCAATGGTCCTAGCCCACTCTGGCTTATAACTGTGTTCCTGCTGTGTTTACACTGTTAACCGCAGGAAACATAGCAATTCTTAAAGAACATGTTGGCTCCCTATTTGTTTTTAGTGCAATTCAAGGCACTGATGCTGATTTGGGAAGCTCTATTCAGGTTGGGCCTGGGCATAGAAGTCAAGGTCAGCTGAGGGTTCTTTTGTTGTCAGTCCCTAGACATGGATTTCCGAGGGGTAGTGGTTGAAGGGGTCCTCAGTGGAAAGCAGTTGGATCTGGAACTTTTATGATGTCTGGTGTGCAGAGCCAGAGTCTCTGGTGGACATTCAGGCTTTGGTGTACGCCATATGATTTTATGAAAATATGCTAATGAGTGTGAATATAATGTAACTGGAAAATGCTTCATGCAAAAGGTCTCTTGTAAAGTATCATTACAAAGCTGATAATCTACTGAGTGTGTTCATCCTATTTGTATGAATGTATCATTCTTGTATCTTTCCTATCCAAAGTTTAGTTCTCTTGCTGTTGCTTCTGCCACATTGGCTCGTTCTGGAAGGGGAGTAGAAAGCCACTATACAGAAAACATTAAAGGAAAAACATGACCCACAAAGGTGACACAATTACAGTTGGAGAAACTAAGATGTTAATCATGTGTTAGACATCAAGATTTACAGCACTCGGTTCCTTTCCCTCAAGCTAGATTCCTACAAATTGGGTACATGAAAATTAAATTGTGCTACAAGGTTTATATTGTCATTTTCAATAAACATATGAACAACTGGCACAGGTATGCTTAATCTAATCAGAAATTATGTACTGTAGTAGGGAGGATGGGATTTCTACTGGCTTGTAGATTATCAAGTCCTCAAGACCGGTATTTCTCTTCTCTATAAACAATCAAATGCTTTCTAGATGTTTTTTTAATTTCTGTGATCTATGATGTATTTCCCAGATAGCATCATCTGTTTGAATAAATGAATATTCAGAACGAACACTAACATTTTATTTTAGGTAATACTAAGATTTAATGAACCCTTATTTGAACTGGTGTCAGCTGGTGCAGTACATCTTGATATTGATCTCAACAGCCATATGTCTTTAGAATCACTTGTAGAGATCTAATACCTGTGGTACGGGTGGAAATAAAAAAGAAATCTGAGCTATTGACCATGAAAAGGAACCTAAGCAGCAATATTAGTTCAGATAACACATTGTACAACTGGATTGAATTTGCATTAGTAAATTTTGCAGCTTTTTCCAACCTGCCTCTATCTTCAAAATGTCGGAAGAGAAAATGTAAGTATCTATCTTAGGGCATTTTTAACACCCCATCCCCACAACAGCCAGATGCCATATGAGGAGGTCTCGCTTTTGCAATTTTTCAGGGACTTTGGGGGCCCAATCCTGCTGCTTTTAATAAAGTAAAACTCATCTTAATGACATCAGTGTGAGTTTGGCTGAGTAAGGGTCACAAGACTGGGTCCATTTTAACACTTGCTACTGGAAAATGAGGACTTCTGTGTGGCTTGATGGCCCAGATCTGTATCTGGAGTAAAGGGATATGCCTCAGGCAGCCAGATTATTCAGGGGAGTGCCAAAGAGTAAGGATATTATACTGCCCTTTTAAGAGGTTGTACAACACAGTTCCTACAGCAGGGGGTGGGGAGTGGGCACCACACAGCTTCCTGAGGGCGAAGATTGCAGTTTTACCTGTCTTCTAATAGGAGATACATGGATGCTCCTTATATACACTCTCCTTGTCACGAACCTGTTCAGATCTGGGTACAATCTGGCCTTGAATGAAATATAGTCTCTAGTCCGCCACATGATCAAAGTGATAAGCTTGAGGGTGAGATCTCTTACACATACTTAGAGATCTCTAAGGAAGTGAAACTGAGAGAGCCCCTATTAAGAAATATTATATAGTACTTTCCATTAATCAACCAGTACAGTTATGTAAATTTTAGTGTGTTGTAGAACTGGTTGAAATTTTTTAATCTAAGCATATTTTTGACAAAAAATACTTTTTCAATCAAAGTAATTTTGCCCCCCATTTTTGGGTGGAAAAAAATGGCAACTGAAAACAAAACAAACAATTCAGTAAAAATGCTCTGGCTTTCATAAAGATTTTCTACCTTTGGGGAAAAAAATCTAGTTTTGGTTTCAGCAAAAGTGACATATTTTTATTGAAAATGCTTTTTGAAAACCAAAACATTTTTGCTTTTTATTAATTAAAAAGAAACTAAAAAAAATTGTAGAAATGTTTGGAAAAAAATGAAATAATGAAAAAAAAATTCTGTAAAAACACTGTTATTTTACAATCTTTTCCAGTGTTTTGGGCAATTGCTACAGAAAACTGGAGTGATGTTTTGCATGTGTGTGCATTTTATAAAGGAATATCCAGTTCTCACTTAAATTTTGTAAAAATGACCCTCCTGATCATTTGAATGAAAAATGCTTCATAACCTACTCAGATGATTAACCTAAAATAAGTACATTTTAGTGTATAGACTACAATTTTGTAAAACCAATATAGAGATAACACAGGATCTGCTTTTACTCATCTTACTTCTATAAATTAGACATATTTACAATATAGAATATAAAATTATTCATGTTTGCTCCTTCTGTAATGTACCAGCATGATCTGAATAGATTTGCATCCAATAAACAAAATATTTAATGAATATTCATATATTATCAAGTCATGAATAAGTTATAAAATAATTAGACTATTAATAATGTTGTAAGTTGCTGTTTTCAAACAAGATAAGAATGGTGAAAATCATTGACAAAAAAGTTGATTTTTAATTTTTCTATACAATTTTAATTTTGAGATCGATTTTTAAATCTCTAATTTTTACTTTCTGTCTGAGCAGAAAGCTTTGTTTAGTTGTGTGCTGAAAATAACCACAAATAAAAGGCCTGCTTCATATTATTATTGAAAAAAAAAAAGGAATTATGCCTTTTCACCAGATTTCCTTACATCATACTTTGGAAGGAAGAAAACACAATATATATATTTTAATAATGAGTTGTTTGTACATACACCATCTAGAATGCAAAACAGTGAGTGGCCTAAAGAACATCTTGCTATTAGTGTGAGTATAAAAATAAATTAGGGGACCAATCCGGCTGCTCTTACACCCTCAAGTAAATAGGACTGTAACACATGAGAAAAGTTGTGTATTGCCAACACCAAGCATTCAAAAATCGTGAGTCAGGCTCCCCAAAATCATGAGGTCAATCTAAAAACCATGATTTAAAAAATAATAATAAATAAATAAATAAATTTGGGACTGTCTTCATTTACCTTCTAATTTTTTAAGTTTGTAGGGCCCACTCGGGTCACATTTTCAACCTTTTTTTGCAACCATAAGAGCTAGAACTTTGATTGTTTAAAAAAATGAAAGCTGAGATTTTCTGTATTCACATTAATGTAAGAGCTGGGGCTTTAAGAAATATACCAAGTAGTGAGAGAGCTGGCAACTCTGAAAGTTATCCATATGAACCCAGGGTCAGTAAGGGTTGCCCCCTGCAGGATTAAGTGCCATGACTGTGCATGGAGTGATGGCACCCTATCAAAGAAAAGATTTACACACATACTTTTTTGCTCAGTTACACTCCATACTGTACTGCTACTGAGCTTCTTGGGGGCACACAGGAAATATAGGAGGAATGGCTCACTCCAAACAGCAAATTACAAAAGCAAAATCCAACAAACAAAATCTAAAGGAAAGAAGAGGGTTGGAAACAGGTGAAAAGTCACAGGGCAGCATTCACTGTCATGCCAATTGGTTTGTCTGTTATACATTAAAATAGTTACCCTAGGAAGTGCTGCCTCATTTGTTATTCATGTCATTTTGAAGATGCAAAGGATATTAAAGGGAGGAGGAAAAAACAAAAACAGACTTACCAGCATATTTTGTGTACTTTTTCTTTGAACAGTGTTTAGGAAAAAATATGCTGCGTTAAACTAATACTTGCTCAAGCTCTAATTGTTCTTTTACTTCTTTTGGTTCCAGGTGGTTTTATCTTTCCTTGTTCCTGTTTTATTTTATAGACCCCTTTTCTCAAAAAATAAAGGGTTCAGGAAGAGGAGAAAAAGGACAATTGTTGGTGCAAAGGAGAGCTGGAGAGTCTAGGTTATGTCAGTTTTTTCCTGTGCCACTGTTTGGTTGGTAAAAGTATAGCAAAAAATGGGGGACGATATTTTATAGAATAAAGCCTGACATAAATTCCAGCTGGCATCATTTAATCAGTCTTTCTACAGGCAGAAGGGAACATTTCCCCCAGATTAGATTTCATTTTCATGCATACATGTAAGTACTTGTCTAAGTTCCAACCAGAGGCGACTTGAGTATACTGGGGTTCATTGATTTTCTGTTACTGCAGTAAGATACTGCATCAAGATAATGATTTATAATGCAGATTACAAAACACTGATTTGCAGCAAATTACTGAATCTGTGGCTAATGATCAGCCCCACAGGTTTCAGCCAAAACCAAGTTGAATTAGAATTTATGTTTCACATAAGATAACATTACTTAATCTGTGGGCAGAAGATCTTTGAAAGCTAACAAAAGAAAAAAGTTTCATTTTCTGGGGGTTTTACATGATAGTAGTCAGGTTTCAATAGGTGGACTGGATAAAGATTTTATCTTCAAGGTCATGACACATTCGTAGAGAAATGTATTACCCATTCCTATTCTCACATACACCCTACATGTGAAGTTTTAAATATCCTTCTGTAGAATGCAATTAACGTCCAAGAAGGCAAAAAAAAGGAGGTGGTAAATGGCTTTCAGCCTTTGACACCTGTAGCACTAAACCTCTGCTCTTATTGGAAGGCAGATTTTTTTTAGACACACAATAAAGTGAAGCCAAATGGCAACAGAATTATTAGGACCCACAGAAATAATCATCATAACAAGCTGAAATCTCTCCTGTATGAAAAAATAGCAAAGGCAAAACCTCTATGGATTGAGTGACAGGACTTTTATTGGATTATTTGGAACAGAAACTGGAAATTGAGGGAATAAATTGACAGACCAAGCTCCAGACTAGTGTCATTACCATAGAGGACATTAAAGTTGGTACCCTGTATTTCACAAGGCATTGTAAGGAAAGGGACAATTCTATCAATAGCAACTGATACAACTATATCAATTTGGGCAATAGAACTATATCTATTTTAGGCAATAAATTCAAATCCTGTCAGTTAATTCATAGACAGAGATTAACTTGACTCAGAAATAAATTGTATTGGTGTTTACAAAAGGAGCAATGGGACTGGCAGGTTCTAGTAAGGGAGTGTTGAATCATCCCACTCCAACTGCTGTTGCCTAGTGGCATTCTGTTTGACTCCCTCATTTCCAATTTCTTCTTCCTCCTCCTCTTCCTCTTCCTCCTCTTCTTCACTTTCACCTGATTCATCACTGGTCGTATCTTCCTCCTCCTCTTCCACCTCCTCCTCACTTTCCTCTTCTACATGGTGAGGCTCTTCATATTTCTACATTAGGTTAGAAAATACAGAGAAGGAAAAGGACTTGTTCATTAACCTAGCTAGGGGAACATAAAGCAATTGAACCAATAGTTTAATACCTCCTGTAACACCCATGAAAATAGCTATGTAATGGATTGCTCCAGAAACTAATTGCTAATATATTGGGAAAGTGCAATTTACATGGCTACCTGGTTATTAGGGGATATATAGAGTAGAGTAAAGTAGCAGGTAAATTCTAAAGCTTGAAGCTATTGTAAAAAAAATGGAATATTGGTAAATGACTCATCGCTTAGCAAAGCTATCTATAGTTAGCTCTTTTAACTTTTGATCATGTGTCAGTTTCTCTAGACAGGTTGCTCTTTTCTGAACCTCTGCCCTGTATTGTCCATTGCCTTCAGTTTGTCAATATTTGGTATCAGCACATTTTAAAATGGACGAATTGCATTGTTGTGGGTGCTTTAAATTGCAAGTGTCTGTGCTGGGCAGGAAGTGATAGGGCAATGCTCCTTTCCCCCTTAAGCCAATTCTTCACCATCCCATCAAATAACAATCATATACAGGATGACAAATAAAATAATAATAATTAATAATAAATAATAAGAAGCATAATAATAATTATCATTATTTGTATTAGAGTCGTGCCTAGAGGCCTCAACTGAGATCGGGGACCATTTGTGCTAGATGCTGTACATACATATAGTAAGAGACATACCCTGCCTTGAAGAGTGATCAAACAAACAAAGTAGCAATCTAAATAAATCCATCTTTAAAGTGTTTTTTAAAAACAGTAACTAAGCAAGCTACCACCCAAAATACTAACTCCTGGAAGTGCCATGGCAATCCAGCTTTTTTGCGTACCTCCATGGGGTTGACAGTAATGGTTAGAGCAGAATCGTCCCAATCCATTTCATTTTCTTTACTTCCTTCATTTTCCGTAGAGCTGTGCTGATGAGAAGTCCGAACTCTGTAGATGCCCAAGGCTATGATGAAGACTAGTATGCTGACACAGATTATTATAACAATAGTAGCCACGCTTGGAACAACTGAAAAAAATAATGGAATAATTTCTCTACAGATTTGCCTACACACCACTAAATACATTCTTTCCTTCTCTGTTCTTTCTTTCTTTATGCTGAGATTCTGCAACCAGCACATCACTCATAATATTTCCTATAATTACATTCAGTGATGACAAATGGTATGAACAATGCAGAACAACTCAAAGTCAGACCAGCTGTCTGTTGATGCCAGAAGGTTAAATTGTCTTTCATCTATATTGTCCCTTTCTGCTAAGGGACAAATATTCCCAGATATTCCCAGGAACACAATTAGAGAATTAACTTCATTTGTGAAAATAATTGATGTCTGGAATTCTGCCATTTGCCGGTTTTAATTTTTCAACTTTCTGGTCTCTATATTTTTAAAAAAAAAACTGGCCACACAATTTCCAATAGTGTATTTTTTAACTAAAGTGCAACTCCTCACAAAGACAGAGGGGGACAAATGTTGCTTTCTCTTACACCTATGCAATGACTTCTTTTGGGTTGCCCAGGGTATAAGTGGGGATTCTATGTCTTCATTGGTTTACTGAACTGAATCACAACAGAAAGACTGACAACACCTTAAGTATTATGAGCAATTTCTGTATAGTTAATACCTGAGCCATGAATGCTGTTTATGCTTTCCTCTGGGTGATGGATAGAGTGGAGAAACTGTGGCTGTATTACCATGTGATTTACATGCTCCATAAAATTAGAGTTGGAGTTGTGTAGGATATTAACCTGGAATAACAAAAGAAAAAGAAGTGTGATACTACAAAGTGCTGTAAATTCCAATACCATGCTTTCTGGTGTCTGAAACTGTGCTGCAAAGTTCATCATCAGATAAGAATATTATATAGATCTCAGTAGAAGATTCAAGTTCATTCTGTAGGAACTGGAGACAAGATCAAGAGTCTCCCAAGCCAGTTAACCTATCCTGGGTTATTGTATGGCTTGGCTGGGCCACTTTGTTATTGGTAGCTCTTGAACAGACTGGAAGAATAAAGACGCTCTCTCTCTTTTTTACCTGTATGAACCAGCTCTCTCTCTCTCTCTTTGTTCATCTTTCTATCATAAGTTAGATGCACTATTGAAGTCACTAAGAGTTTTATCATTGTCTTTAACAGGTCTGGACATTTGTAGAGCCCTAATGCCATCTGTTCAGACCAAATATTTCTCTCTTCATCCAACTTCTCTATGAATATTGTCACTTCCTTTTTTATGCTACTATAAGATGCATTTTCTTAGCAAGTTGTGGTTTCAAAACTTCATATGAAATAGAGCTTACCTTGACCTGCAACTCTGAATTTGAACAGCCCCAAACATTATGGTATTTGAAATGCTAATCAGGATCCAAATATGCAATATTTGATATAACTTCTACATTTACAATGGACTGAATAAAAACCCCAGATCCAAACACCTCAAACTTTTGTGATAATAAAATTTTAGATGTCAATCTAGATCTAGTTTTGTGGCTTGAGCTCATATTTAGTAATTGCTTGCTTTTATTCATTTTTCTCTAGGTTTACTTCTTATTTAGCTATCTTTAGGATGTCTGTTTTAAATAAAGTTCACTTTGAAAAGTAACCGTGTAAAAATGGCACCCAGTTATTCTGGCTGTTCCCTGAATGTATTCAGTTTTATATCTGCTGACATTAGTGACTAATACATTTTATTACTCTTGCTTCTGTTAACACACTAGAGCCATGCCAGGTGTGGGAGAGTCGGCTGAATTCTATTTTGGCTCATGCATTAACATAATTGTTAATTAAGTTGCAAAGGCATGGTCAAATCCAGCCTTCATTTACTAAAGTTAGGCATAGAAGAAACTGTAGAGAATCTGGCCTAGAAAATCTTTATGGAGATGATCAATGAGCCAGAAGGAACAAAGCTTGATTTTCAGAACCCAGATTACATTTACAGGGCCAGCAATTAGACTCAACCTTTTTACTTGTAAACCAGGACAAATTGTTCTGAAAATCGTTGAGACCCCAACACAGAACTCTCCAATGACATATTTAAAGTCAATTTCCACAGTACAACTGCACTTGAAAAGTGTTCAAATGAAAACCCAAAGAATCACCAACATGGTGCTCAAGAAAGTGTTTCACAAATGTAAGTATTCATGGCAATCCTGACTATGCAATGTAGCATGTGTGCATGATACTTGTGTTCCTCCTTTTTGCCTGAAAATGAGATATGAGCCCAAGTTAACAATTTTTAAACACTGAGTAAGATGAGCAATATATCCAAATATTGATTATATGTTCCATTTAGCCATGGCAAATAGCATCCTTTGTAATAAGTCCCCAGGTTTTAGAAAGGACAAAGATTTTTCTCACATGACAGCACATGTTGTACATGAAAAATTCTATTTGTTTCCTATCACAGAACGTACTTCTGTAAAGGTTCCTTCAAAGGAAGGAAGGAAAGAATGTAATTCATAGCACAAAGCAACTCTGCTACCCCTTCTTTTCTCATAGCCCATATAAATACCAATAATAAGCCAGGAGGAGAGCTGAGAAAGGAAAGCAAAAGGCAGAGCAGAGGTGACAGGAATTTGTTTTTTTCAGAGCTCATGCATGCATTTTTTTTTAAATTTAATTCACTAATTTATTTTAAGGGCCTAATTATAGGATCTCTGGGCCTGGTCCTCTACTGATTTGCAGTATGTTCAGTCATTTACACCAGTGAAAACTGGATATAAAATGTTATCAATGCCAAAAAAGTCACTCTGCAACAAGGTGCACTCATCCTTTAAGGAAACTACAGGCTCAACACAACATACTTCTACTTTTATCCCCAGAACAAGAGAATTCTGGGAAAGGAAGCACCCAGATGGATTCTGGGAATTGTAAATTGGACAGAATATAAGAGGCAGCCTCACTCAGTGTGAGAAAGAGATGTGGAGCGAGGCGGGGAGGGTGGCATGCTGGGGAGATTCAGCAGAAACTGGTGAAGCTAGCAGTTTAGAAGGAGCTATGGAAGCAGTCTAGAAGAGGTGGGTGGATAAAAACATAATGAACCCAAGGGAGATAGGAGTTCTGTGACTTTTGTAAAGAGCCTTGAGGTGGACAGAGGTAGAGGATGGTACCCAAGGGTTGTGAAGTATACACATAGAGGGGTACAATTACAAATAGCCAAGTCCCAGCTGGAAAATCAAGGGATTACCAGAGTGAAAGAAGAGGCTGTGGGCAAAGGGAACATACAAAGAACGGGGCACTAACTGATTGATAACTTACTGATTTGGGGCCCACCACTGGAGCTTCCAGACAGTGAGAGCACTCCCTGGCTTCAGTTCCCTGCAACATGAGAGGGGAAGAACGATGGACCCTCAAAGAAGGCCTGTGGTTCAAAAGGAGAGGCTGGATGAAGGCTACTACATTCCAGAGAATGGAAAGATGGACAGAAAGGCTCATGACCCAGTAATGGGACCGCATTGAGCTTTTGTGTTGGTTTTTAATTTGGACTCTTGTTTGGGATTTCAGTTACCCCAGGAGATATGGAATCTTTCTGAGTTAGCTGGAGGACTTAATTTAAACATTGTACCAGCTCAGAGAGAAACTGAGGCACAGCTAGGAAAGGGAAACCGATGAGGTTACCACATTATAATAGGACACCTCTGACCACAAACTCCAGTCCTTATTGCGTTCCTCCCTCCCCTCAAAAGCCTGAATAAATATGCCTTGTAGAGTGATCTAAAGGGAAACAAATATGGGCTATTTCAGATGAAGGGTGGGTGTTAGTTGCAATTTAAGGCCCCTTGTGAAAAATATCACGCAAGTAATTCCCTTTCATTTATACTGGGTGCGCTCCAGCTCTTTAATCTCCACTGACCAACTGTAGCTCTATTGTGCAGGAAGAGAGGCAGTCTCTCACGTAGGCAATCCTCATGCCATTCAAGATCAATGCCAATACTTTAATTTCCTTCCAGAAACCAAGAGATATCTATTGCAAATCATGGCGCAGAATTATCCTGTGCACTAGCTTTGTCTCCAGTTTGGCTGTAGGTGTAGCTCCAATGCTGACTGTATTGCAGTAATCTAATCTTGAGGTGGTGTGGCCATGGATAACAATCACAAAGTCTGTCTCCCACCAGTAAGGCCACATTCTCCTGACCAAGCTGAAAAACGGCCTTTCTAGACATGTTGTTATATGGCTGTTTAGTAGCAGCTGGGGATCCAGTAATTTCCCCAAATTCCAAATTCTATTTAAAAAAAGTAGGCATACAACATGAATACGAAGACCAGGTATAATCCTTGTTCTAACTTCCAACAGCTTCCCCCAACCTACCAATAGCAAATCAGTTAGCTGGCTGTTACCCATGCTCCTTTGCCAGAGGGTGCGACAGTCAAGAGCTGCTGCTGTTCTTAACTGAGAATCTGGATCCATGGAGAGTGGAAATGTTCAGGGAGCGACACAGAAATGCTTAAAGAGAAGTGCTGAATTAGTTCAGTGTCTGTGAGAAAAGCACATGAGAAACTTTTGAGAAGAGGTGAAGCTGTAAACTCAGCCAGACTTGATAAAAGAAGAAAAACAGAATATAGGCACAGCAGCAGCCTGAATTCGCCACATTTTCTAAATGCAGGATTTCATAAGAGCTTAAAAATTAAAAAGAAACTAAGCCAATTTTGCCATGAGCTGAAAGAAATGAAGTTCTTCATGGCATTAAAACAGCCATACAAAGGAGACACTGGAGAACCATGTATCTCGCTGATTAGATGAACATATTGGAGCATCCTGCGGCATATTCTGCCATAGCAACCCACTGTCAGGCTAAACAGGCATTCAGAATTCCAAGAGAGGACCCATTCCAAAGACATAACGAAGAGAATGGGACAGTCATTCCATGAAATGGGAGATAAGCGGTGAGCAGAAATGATTTCACTTCTGGAATTACTCCCAGCAGCTGTTGCCCCAGTCAGTTTGGGTGACAGTGGAGCAGACAACCAATCAGTCACCAGCTGAACAGCTCACTTATGTGTGAATTTAGTGCCTCTAGGTATGGTTTTGGTATGCAGCCTCCAACTCCATAGCTGAAATTTTTGCTAGTAATTTTGACTCCATAATCAGTTGTGGGCACAATTTGTTCCATTTCTACATTTAACAGATTTATGGGTGCAAAAGCAGGGGCAACTGTTTGTAGGTGAAAAAATATGTACTCAAAACTGGAATGAATTATTTTTAAAGTATTGACCTTTCCCATAATACTGTCTATTTAACCTATTTTATAGGTATAATCTGAGATCCTAATGTGGGAAAACAAAATGGAAATACCCAGCCCTGGAACAGCTATGAATTACATCTGTAACTATCAAATAAAGATGCATCTTTCAAAGTGCATGAAGTCAAAACCCAAAGGTTCAAAAAATTGTAGAAGGGAAAAGGATCAAACAGAGTGACTGGTCCAATGCAACTGCTAGTGTAATTCATATTATCTCTATTAAAACAGATTTTGAGTTATTAAAATGCAATATTTCTGTTGGCAGGATTGGACTTTTTCTGTGAAATTCATATCAAGGACTACTGCCTCCATTTGTAGTAGATAAACCTGGATGTACATGTGAGCAGAACCTATTCTACAATCCTATTAATCCAATTCCAGTTCCTAATGAACAGGTAGCCGTATACGTTACAAGTTGCCATATCAGATTGGACCTGAAGTTCAGCGGGTCTTATATTCGGACTCTAGCAATCTCTAATACCTGATCATACCATGTAAAAAAGCACCACCACAACTGGCACCTGGGTTCGGACTAAGGAGGATTAAATCAGCATGGAAAATGAGCAAAATTGCCCCTCTCACTTGTGACGGTCTGGCTTGAGCCCCATTTCTGGGATAAGGTAAGGAGGCTTGCACCGCTCCAGCTCATGCTGCGCTTGTTTTGTGCCTCTACAGAGAACTTAAGCCCTGGGATATCAATCTGACATATTATACCAGCATGGAGTTCACTTTAAAGAAAAAACTGTAAACTAGAACAGATGCTGGTGGTGTTGAGTGGTTAGGATATAGATATTCAGGCTTGTCTGCAAAGGCCTATACTTCAAGAATTTGGGTGTATTCTTATCACTTAACTAGTTATAGAGGTACAGAACAAGAATCAAAATCAGTCTGCATGCTTACAGGCCTTCTCTCACTATGATAGTCTAAGGCCTTGTTCTTAGGCTAAGGTCTTTGGCTAAGCAGCAGAAGCAGCCAGACTGGGAAGCGAACGGTCACGTCTTCACCAGTCACCCTGAAATAAGGCAGTTTTGAGCTGTTAAAAAGGTGATCCAATCTATTACCTCCAGAGAAAGGGAAGAGCCTAGAAGATTTAAAGAAAACTTAGTTTGACAGCATCCTGTCTGGCAAGAACTCACTTATCAATAGCTGGGGTGTGAAATCCTCATTTCTTTGTTGTTCTATCACTGTAATCTCCATTTCCCTATTGTTTGTCTGTATAATCTCTGGTTCTGTGATTGTTTCTGTCTGCTGTATAATTAATTTTGTTGGGTGTAAACCAATTAAGGTGGTGGGATATAACTGGTTAGATAATCAAGTTACAAAATATGTTAGGAATGGTTAGTTAAATTTCAGTAAAATGGTTAAGGCATAGCTAAGCAGAACTCAAGTTTTACTATATAGTCTGCAGTCAATCAGGAAGTGAAGGGGGGAAATGGGAACAGGGAATTGGGGTGGGTGAATTGGAATCATGTTTTGGTAAGGTGGTGGGGGGAATGGGAACAAGGAATAGGAACAGGGACACAGGCAAGGCTCTGTGGTGTCAGAGCTGGGAAGAGGGACACTAAAGAAGGAAATTGGAATCATTGCTTGCTGGAAGTTCATCCCAATAAACATCAAATTGTTTGCACCTTTGGACTTGGGGTATTGTTGCTCTCTGTTAATGCGAGAAGGACCAGGGAAGTGAGCGGGTGAAGGAATAAGCCCCCTAACATTGAGTGAGGTCTTTGAAGTAATGCTGCATACAAGAATGAAAAGAGCTTTCTTTTTCATGCTGGAACAGCATGCTGGTTACTAGGCAGAGCTCGCTGGCCTGTGATTTCTGGAGACACCTGCACTATCCACATCGCTGTGCATAGGAAGCAACAGTGTTCTGCCTCATTTCCCTGAGACAAAAATATGTGGACTCTCTGCTTTATATGCAATTATCTAATTGTGACTGACTCTGTGTGAGCAGCAAATGCAGTAGAACAGAGTATTGATCCTGAGGTTGAAAGATGCAGTCCATCTGATGTGTTATACTATGATACTGAAGTTCCTCTATAAAAAAATTGCATTGAACCCTATCCTCATACTGATTAAGGAGGTGCAAACTAAGCTGGAATTATTTCCTACTGATGAAGAATACATCATTTCACATGGCACAACCCCCCGCCCCCCAGCATTGACAAAAAAGAAACCACAAATGAAGTTGGAAAGCAATGAGCTTGCAACATGGTGCTTTCAAGCAGGATTATAATAGTTGGGACATAGGTTGGAGCCTGAATGTGGGAGGCAATTCATGGAAAAGGTAAGGATGACCTACACCTCAACTATGCATGGGAAGGAATGTGGTTTTGTATATTAGTATCAAGTGACAGTTCATCTTGTCATTACATACCGCTGAGTAGGCTAGACAGAGCAACATCCATTCGGTATTTCCAGCTAGAGAGGTTAGTCTTTCATTTTGTATGGCATATGACATATGCAGAAGTTTTCCTCTCGTAAGTTATTACTACTCTTTGACTATAGCACCCAAAATGTGCTAGGTACTGTCCAAATACAGGAACACTCAGTCCCTGCTCTGAAGGATGAGGGAAGAAATGTAGCTCATCAATAGCAGAGGGAAATTTTTGGTAAAAATGCATCTTTTCATTACTCACCTCCAAGTTAAAGTCATTACTGGTGTATCGGCCATTCAGCTCTGAGCACTTGATCCTGAACTTTCTATCAAAGATGTTGAAAGTGTGCCAATTGCGATATCGAACCTGTTGAAGCACCAGTTCATAGTTTCTCATTGTGTCCACACCTGAAGCAGTAACACAACATGAATAAATACCAAAACATGCTTAAGAGGCAAGCATTGTAGAAACCTTTTTGTGTTTACTACAAGAGTACTGAACAGGGAAATCACATGTTCTAAATAATAAAATTAAGTGGATAGAACAATCTGAATTTGTCAAAGATTCCAGTTCATATCAAGTTAAGTGAGCAATGTTAGGACTTCAGGAACTGTAATAAAAAAACCGCTTATTTTCATACTAGAGAAAAAATATACAGACGTGGAGCTAATAATTTAGTTACTTCAAAAATTACAGTATGGCCTTTAGTGGGTCAGGAACTGATCAGCACTTGTGTGAGAACACTAAGGAACCCCCTCACGGACATATGCCATATACGGGCTTGTCAAGGGGAGAATATGTTCTGTGTCCCCATATGCTCCTGCGGGGTTCACATCACCAATTGGGGTATAAAAAGGTGGGGCTATGGCCATGCTGACTCCTACAGGATGAACCAGTTACTCGGTGGAGCAGGCTTCCATCTGGGAGCTGAGATGGAATTGTGCTTTTTTGAGGCACAATCCCTTATTGAGCTTCCTCCGGATAGCGTGGCTCAGGTCTGCTCTGTCCCTAACACAGAGTGGTACCTTAAAGGCAAAAACCTAGCCCTTTCCTTTTAAGAATGTAATTAAAATGTAAATGGCCCATTAGCATACCATAGATAGAATACCCTGCTGTGGAGTTGGTGGCATCTAGATGTTTTCCTTGAAGCTCCTTACGATCCAGTTCTAAACACTCCTGTCTGGGATCTAGTTCCACACCAATGACCAAAATGTCACAGAAATCCAAGTTGTGAACCATTTCCTCTAACACAACTGGCTTATGGACTGTAAACACAAGGAATAGACCATACAGAAATAAGAAACAAAATCCGAGAAAAAACAGTCACAAAACAGATTTATACTCGAACCTGGTTTGCACAGTGTTGTCAGCTTCCAAAGGGAATGGCTGAATAGTTCTAAGCATCTATTAAACATTGACTACAGCATGCAAGTCAAAAGCAAGAAATCTCCAATACTCAGATGTGATGATCAGGGGCATATAAGTACTTAGATGAATCCAAAATATAGCAAACCATAATATATGTCAGAAATATAACATTGAAACATGATTTTGGAAGTAAATTCACAGCTTAACAATTTTGCTTTTCAATACTGTATTGACATCAGCCTGGTACTACTTCATTCAGTACATTACTACATGTGGCAAGAAGCTGTGAACATAAAGCTTTTTTTCTGTGATTGCACAATTCTCTCAATTATTCTATGGCCCATAAAGAATTTTGCATTAGAGAGGATGCTATACTAATCTATCCAAGAACTAGCATAGTCATAAACTGGAATATCAAATGATCACGCGTTTTCCCAGCTCAAAGTAATTGAGTTGTAAACTGACTGTCTTTCAGTGAGTAGTATAAAATCTATCCTGTCTCACAAGAGAGAGTCAGATGCATATTTAATATTTTAATTCTCTGGTCCACTTGGCACAAAGCGGCTGGAACACTGGCTTAACTGGCTCCCTGTGGATACCCTTTGCATAATATAAATCGCTGGAATCACAGCAACTATCACCCCTCCTCAGGCTCCCAACTTAGGGTACGTCTATACTTACCTCCGGGTCCGGCGGTAAGCAATCTATCTTCTGGGATCAATTTATTGCGTCTTGTCTAGACGCGATAAATCGATCCCGGAAGTGCTCGCCGTCGACGCCGGTACTCCTGCTCCGTGAGAGGAGTACGCGGAGTCGACGGGGGAGCCTGCCTGCCGCGTCTGGACCCGCGGTAAGTTCGAACTAAGGTACTTCGACTTCAGCTACATTATTAACGTAGCTGAAGTTGCGTATCTTAGTTCGAAGTGGGGGGTTAGTGTGGACCAGGCCTTAGAGGGCACTCCCAGAAGGAAGGGATTAAAGTCAGAACCACCCTATTCCCTGGCAATCTTCAGCTGCTGGAATAGCCCATGAGGGCTGTGGATTAGCAAAATAACTAAAAAGTACAAATGCAAAACTAATGACTTAAAACAAGGTTTCCTGCTTGATTTAAATTACCATTAAAACTGGTGATTTAAATTGCTTTGATTTAAATCAATCTGTCCTGTTTAGGACTAGATTTTCAATGGTAATTCAGTGCCTAAAGATACAAATACATGTCTAGTGGGATTTTCAAAACCATCTAGGCACTTAACTCACAATGGGAGTTAGGCACCTAAGTACTTTTGAAAATCCCACTGATCACCTAAATACATTTAAAAATCAGGCCCTTAGGCACAGGGCCGGCTCTAGGCACCAGCAAAACAAGCTGGTGCTTGGGGCGGCACATTTTTAGGGGTGGCATGGCCGGCGCCAGAATGCCGCCCCTAAAAATGTGCCCCGGTCGCCCTAGCTCACCTCCGCTGCTGCTGCAGCTCGCGCGCCAAACAGCTGATTCGCACGCCGCTACTCGCCCTCCCTCCCAGGCTCTCAAACCTGGGAGGGAGGGGGAGATCCCGAGCGGCCGCGGCACGTGAAACAGCTGTTTCGCGCGCCGTTTCTCCCCCTCCCTCCCTCCTAGGCTTGAGAGCCTGGGGGGAGGAGGCAGGGCTGGGGATTTGGGGAAGGGGCGGAGTTGAGGCGGGGCCGGGGGTGGGGTAATTAAAAAACGGGGGGGGAGGGCGGCCAAAATTGTTTTTGCTTTGGGCGGCAAAAATCCTAGAGCCGGCCCTGCTTAGGCATTTTTACTCATAATGCACAGGGACATGAATGAAATATCATCAGAGTTCCTAACATGCAAAATGAATGATCATCTCTTTTCTGAAGAGGTATCCTTTTATGTATTACATTGCATGCAGTGCACACTATGATCTAGAATACTTTCTGGCCTTTGGAGGGCAGATATAGTTTAAGGCAACTGATAATTAGGATTGTTACAGAAAAAATGCTTTAGAGAACCAGTGCCCCTAAACCAGTATATTATTAACAATTTCAGCTTTTCTGAGAGATGTACAAATAGTTGCCTATTATTCTGGTCGAAGAAATGTACCTGAGGACGATTCCTAAAACAGCTGGTTAATGGCTTTTTAATTAAACTTCATAAGAGCAGCCAAAAGGAAGACTCTTTTTTAAACAATTGTTGGTGATGCCTTATTGAAATTTCCTAATGTTTGCCTACCACTGAAAAAGTCAGGATAGTTCATGTTAACTTTGTTGAGCACCTCTAATAAGAAGTAGGCTCTTCAAAAGCACAATGTAAAAAAAAAAATTTAATGGTTTAGAGAAACTGTACTTAATGAACATACACACAGTAGCCCTGTAAACTTGTGCCTGAGGATCTGTCCGTTTGTTTCAAAAAATGTTTGAAATACACATTAAAATAGTCTCAATCCTAGATTGTGATCTCTCTGAGCCAGAGACTGTCTGTGTTATTTCTGTGTACTGTATCTTGTACAATAAGGCCTTAACTCCTGCTTGGGGCAAATGTGGAAAACAAATGCACAAACCTCCATCATTTTCTTTAAAGTCCACAGAATGTTCCACTTTGGTGACTGTGCTGACAATTCTGATATCTGGTAACAGAGTCACTCCCCTTTCACTTTCAAATTGCGTAGGTGGTCTAGCAAAGTGGTCCATTCCATTTATTGTGATCTTGGGCTCATTGGCCTGAAACACCATTACATAGGCATCTATATCTGGGATGTTAATGCAGACATCTTCACCAAAACACCTGAAAAATATATTATTCTTTAATTGCATGGAATAGTTGCCAGGTGAAATTCTTCCCTTGCTAGAGGCATGCAGTATTAAGCAAGCTAGCTTGGCTACCTCACCCACTCTATCTGTGCATGTTTCTGTCTTCGCTTTCTTTTGCCCAATGTCCAAATAATTATTTTTTATGCTTATTTCTCCTTGTTATTTAAGCTGCCTTTGCCCCAGATAAGTCCATTTCATACTGTGATCCAGCAGTACATATGCACATCTTTCTGTACTCTTACTGCCATGTGTAAAACTTAGCAATGGTACTAACAGTTCTAGGTTGCAAAGTTCACATGGGCCTATATGCAAATGTTCACAATTACTGGAATTACCTTTGAGTAATTTAACACCTCAGTGGCACGTGCAATCATTAGTAAGGTCAGTATGTAGGTAACATTTAGACACTTAATTAGCATTAACAAAAGAGTCAATGGTTAAAAATTAAAGTTAATTAGATAGCAACTAAACATTGTAAGCTTAACATTAGGGACCTAAATTGATATAACATAGTTATCTTGTTAAATGTGAATCAAGAACCTAACCATCCAATTAAATTGAATGCATCATGGGCTCAGCGCTTCATTTCCTGAACACCAACAACTCCAACTGAAGTCAGTGTGTACAAGGAATGGAAGACTGGTCCTTTACCATGGAGAAATGTTATCATTGTTGCTTAAGCTATACACCTCTATCTCGATATAACGCTGTCCTCGGGAGCCAAAAAATCTTACGGCGTTATAGGTGAAACTGCATTATATTGAACTTGCTTTGATCTACCGGAGTGCGCAGCCCCGCCCCTCCGGAGCACTGCTTTACTGCGTTATATCCGAATTCGTGTTATATCGGGTCACGTTATATCGAGGTAGAGGTGTACTGTGATAGTTGTATGATAATAGTAGGACACAGTAATTTCTACTTTGTCCAAGATGCCACAATTTTACAATGATTGTGGCCCTATCACAATATAGGCAAAGGCTATTTCTAGCAGAGAGGCATTGCCCCTGTAGATGTACCCTCTATTCATTATAAAAGGCCTGATTTAAAAGTTATGGCTTTTATGTCAGAAGAAACCTTAATCAATTGGACAAATGGGAATAAGTACTCTATTGACCTTCAACTGACGTATAACATACACGCAAACTCTTCAATATAGACCAAATGCTTCACAAACGGTACACAACTAAATTACATTTACAAGAAAGACACCATAAAAGCAAAACATAAGAAACCCACAAAGTAATTAAATATAAAAGCAAATGCAACTCATGCCTTATACTTGATAATTTAAAGGTATAGTTTATCAACATATTTTAATTCAAATTCTATTTTTACATTTCCAAAGAAAAAATAATTAATTTATTTAAAAATATAACTAATTTAATCAGTTTAACTGAATGTAACTTACTGGACTTTAGATGAGACTTTAAGACGCCGTACGCCCGCGGTAGGGAACTGTCTAGAGTTGATATATGAGACCTTTTGGAGAGCTTGATTTATATTCTCAATATCATCTCCTTCCATGACAAGGACTGACTGGGAAGGGTTGAAGTGATGCTGGGGAAAACGCATATAATTAGTATTTAGGGTAACAGGTAGATAATACACTTCTAAGGAATTATTTAGAGAGACTGGCTAAAATCTAATAATTTAAGAAACAAATGCTGTGAGTAGTCAATATTAATTATGAACATATATAGCTTTTAGGAACAAGTACCCACCAGATGCTCATCTATCACACATTTTAGTAATTGTTATTGCTATAGTTAACCATATAGTAAATTAGGAGCTAGTCGAACTACTGTGAATCTACACTATTTACTCAAAAATAACAGGAGTATCCTGCATCCGAAGAAGTGGGTTGTAGCCCACGAAAGCTTATGCTCTAATAAATTTGTTAGTCTCTAAGGTGCCACAAGTACTCCTGTTATTTTTGCGGATACAGACTAACACGGCTGCTACTCTGAAACTATTTACTCAGCTGCTCATATTTTTGAAATTCGACTTTTCATAAATGCATCATCTTATTATTATTATTACAGGATATGCTAGGAAAAATTATTGCTGGTAGAAAATAATTGACTTTAATAAGAGTTATGCAAGAAGCACATTTGTCCTGCCTTGTTTTTACTTCCTCTGTGTATTTTTATTCCAGTCCATCTTTGAGATATTTTTCCACATGAGTGAACAAAGCAATTAAACTTTCCTTACCACAACCCCAGCAATGGCAGTCACAGCCAAGGGGATTCTCCTTCCTCTGTCTCATGATCACTGGAGGGATCACTATGTAAACTGGGGCTTCCTCCTGCATAAAACCAGCTGCTCATCTGAATGGACAGGTCTTATTAGAGGATCATCGGTTGTCTTTGTAGCTGTGCTAACCTTTCCAAAGCTCATAAGACTGAAAACAAAAACTTAACAGCCTGCTGACAGAGGCCAGCCTATTTATGTGAATTGTAAATGCTGATTGGTTTTATCACCATCAAGACCATGGGGCTAGTCTACACGATGGGGTAGTGCACACTGCGGGGGTGTGATTTCTAAAGCACACTAATGCATTACATATCAATTGGTTCATGTAGCTCCCACCCACGTGCACTAAATCTTCCTGACTGTGCTTTAAATGTCATGCTGTGTGAAACAGTACGATAGTAAAGCACACTAGGCAACCTGTGATGTGCAGCAGCAGGGTCTACACGGACCAATTAAGGTGTAACACATCAGTGCACTGTGGAAATCACACCCCTGGAGTGTGTACTACCCCACTGTCTAGACAAGCCCTAATTCTGAGCTTCATTTAGACACAAATAAGTTTGTTTTCTACCTTTTTTGTTTGTTTGGTGTACGTGTGTGAGAGAGTGAGAGTTTGTTGTTAATTTCCTTCTGAAAGATGTCTGTTAATCAGGTCAATGAGCCATTTGTGCTGCACAGAAAACCAGATCAACCTTCTGAGTTTACATCCTCCCACTTAGGCTCTATAAAACATAAGGAAACTAATACCAAATGCACTTTCTTTCCATGCAGTAGTTTCCTGAGGCTGACTGTTGATTATGGGAACATTTTATATGATATTTTATAGTTTATGTCACACAAATATCTACATTTTAAAAGAAAAGGGTTTCGAAAAAGATGAAGATTAAATAGTACGTGCACATGAGCGAGACAGGGCAAGCTTTGAGCTGAGTAGGACAGGGAGACTTAGGTTCAAACCTTGTGAATAACATCATGAACAATTTAAGAGGTTTTCTGCAGAAGAATGTAATAACACTACACGTGATCATGCATATCACTCTTTTTAACTGTAAACTAGCAACAGCAAAGAATGACATTAGCAAGGGAAGACTCAAGCTAGCTAGTTAACTTAATGACTCAGATGCAAGAACTCTGGAATGCTGCCGAAGGGAGTGGAAGAAAATCCTAGCCCTAGTCTACACTACAGAGTTAGGTCAACATAAGGCAGCGTATGTTGACTTAACTATGGAGGTGTCTACACTACAATTTTCCTCCCGCCGCTTTAACTTGCCTAATAAATCCAATCTAATAAATCCATGATGTGGCCTCCACGAGCTGTCCCACAATGCCCTACCATGACTGCTCTAGTCACCGTTTTGAACTCCGCTGCTCTGCAGCCAGATACACAGGTGTACGCCCCTCCCCTTTTAAAGCCCTGGGAATTTTTGAAATTGCTCTATTTACTTGGCGTGGAGAGCTAACATAACAACTGCTGAGCTGACCATGCTGGCTCCATGCAGCACTGGAGGTGCTGGATCTACTGGGTACAGGCATAGCTCCGATCCAGTCATAGGAACTTTGACAGCTATGGCCAGATCGCTCGGGGCATGGAGGAGAAGAGCTACAATAGGGATACACAGCAGTGCCATGTAAAAATCAAGGAGTTACACCGGGCATACCAGAAGGCAAACGAAGGCAAATAGTCGTCTGGTGTGGAGATGCAGACACGCCACTTCTACAGGTAGCTGCATGCCATCCTCGGTGCCTACCCCACCTCCACCACCAAGTGCCCAGTGGATACTTTGGAGGATCTAGAGTCACAGGCCATCAGAGTGAACCCGGAAGATGAGGTGCTGAACAAGGAAGAGGAGGAGGAGGAGGGAGGACGGGCAATACGGGGATCCAGTGGAGTGGCAAGCCAGGATCTCGTTTTGACTCCTGAGCAGTTAAGCCACTCCCAGAAGTCCAGCACTGGAGAGCCTGATGCAAGGGAAGGAACCTCTGGTAAGTACTCAGTTTGCTTCAATATTACAGGGCAACATCTGCTCATGTACTATTTTTTAAAATCAGGCTAGAAGAGGTAGTGAAATAACCAATAGAGGTAGAGTCGCTATCTGCTTCTTATTCCCCTGTACAGCTAGGCAGAGGGGGCCCTACCGAACAGTTTGTATATTCACTGGGATATCCTGTGAATCCTCCATAGAGATCTTTAGGAAACTTTCCTGGAGGTAGTCTGCAATCCTCTGCCAAAGGTTTCTTGGGAGGGCTGCCTTGTTTCTTCCCCTGCAGTAGAACAGTTTGCAGCTTTCTGTACAGGTCTGTGATCCTAAAGATGCGCGCATCATGCACCTTCCCTGACCAGTTCATATTGATGTCAGTGAAACAAACCTGGTGATCCACCAGCGCTTGCAATACTGTAGAAAAGTAGCCCTTTCTGTTGATGTATTCCATCACAAGGTTGTCTGGTATCAAAATGGGGGTGTGTGCGCCATCTATTGCCCCACCGCAGTTCAGCAATCCCATTGCTGCAAAACCATCCACTATTTCCTGTACATTGCCCTGAGTCACAGTCCTTTGTAGCAGGATACGATTAATGGCCCTGTATACTTGCATCACAGCAACCTCCATGGTGGATTTCCCAACTCCAAACTGATTCCCCACTGACCGGTAGCAGTCTGGCATTGCAAACTTCCACACAGCAATCGCCACTCACTTCTCCACTGAGAGTTCAGCTCCCATTCTGGTGTCGCTGCACCAGAGGGCTGGGGTGAGCTCCACACACAGTTCCAGGAAGGTGGCCTTGCACATCCAAAAGTTCTGCAGCCACTGCTTTTCATCCCACCACTGCATAACGATGCATAACGATGCAATCCCACCACTCAGTGCTTGTTTCTCGGGCCCAGAACAGACGGTCCACTGTGTGCAGCTGCTCCGTGAATGGCAACAGCAATCTTGAATTGTTTCTTTCCCTGGCACACAGCAAGGCAGACACCAAGGCATCGTTATCAGACTCACAGCTCAGGAAATACTGCTGGATCAGGCATGTTGTGTTTGTGACGCTCAGCACAACACTGAAGAGCAGTGCAGGATCCATGATTTCTGACAGAGATGGTGGGCACGCAGGTTACCACAGCTGTTGAAAAGTGGTTGAAAAGTGGTACAAACCACTAGAATACCCATGGAATGGAGAAAACCTAATCATGAGATGCTGAACCTGCCCCCATGAGGCATTACAGTGGGCTGGCTACCCACGGTGCACTGCTCTCTGTGTCAATGCAAGAGCTACTACTGTGGATGCACTCCACCAACACAAGGAGGTAGTGTGGACAGGCAACAGTGGTTTAATTATAGCGGCAGCTGTACGTTGACATAACTTAAGTTGACTTAACTTTGTAGTGTAGACAAGCCCCTAGTCTGGGCTGTTTACGTCTCGCTCTTGGAGAGTGTGGAAAGGGGAGAGATAAGTTAAAAATAGCATAGACAGTGTCTGCAAGATTTGTTGTGTATATATGAAAATTAGACGGTGGAAGAAGCAAGAAGATAAAAATTGCAACATAAGAAATCTTGCAACAGTATTAAACTGTTCTTTCCTAGATAAATATAAAGAGACCAAAGAGACCAACTGACAATCCTACTGACTTTTAACATTAGCTAATGTCCTTTTCCTTCAGGCGGTGGTACCACTCAAATATCCATATTGTACATATCCATGGGCAGTCATATACAATATCTGATGTCATCAGGTGTGTTATTTTGGGACAATGGACACTATCTTCCTTTATTAATTTTCAACCCAAAGTCAGGTGCCAACTGTGCCTCTTTTATCTATTCCTCTCCCTCTTGGCCCAACCAGGAAACCCTGCCTGGAGTATCTCCGACTGCTTTTTTCCATTTTTGCCTTCTGCTGTCAACTCTGACTGCCAGACTGGCTGGGGAGGTAAAAATGAAAGAAGCACCTTTAAAGAAACACCATGCCACTGTTGTAATTCTGAAATTGAAAACGCTTTGAAGTTCAGTGTGGGAAGGAGAAAAAAATTCCCTCGGCTTCATTTTTCCTCCACCCACTGCTGGTTCATAGAGAGAACCATTCACCCATGCTGGAGCAGCAGTGGGAGGCAAAACCGAAGAGAGTATTTTTTCACCCACACCTGAAACCATAGGCTACTATAATAATGTCAATTTCAAAATGACAACAGGGGTGCAACAACTAAGTATGTTTTTAATCAGTATGAGCCAAGTATAAGCTGACTTATGACATACAAATTCCAACATACATTCACTGGTATATATTTGCGAGGAAACAGGATTTTCTAGTAAACAGCCTTATGTTACATTCATAATCTTAATTTGTAAAGGGCATTGCTAAGAAGCATGTCATTATAATTTACTGAATTGCTGGGATGGAAGTCCTATGAAATCATTAACATTCTCACTATAATAAATAAAACATGAAAATAGAGTAATTTTGGGGCTCTTTGTTCAGTATTTAAAGGCTAGTATCACAAAAAAAGAAGGTTTCATGCAATATGTTTTACCCAGGAAAGAATGAGGTGGTGAAATAGAGCCATCCAATACTGACATTTATGAGGGTTAAATTAGAACAAGGTGAATAACTGGGGTTTTTTTAGGTCTCTGGAAGTTCCAGAAAAAAAAATTGATTTGACCCAAACTGAAGCCAAATTTTTCAGTATTTTCAGCAAATCAAAAAAGTTGACAAATTTCATTTTGGATTAAATGAAACAAAATATTTCATATCTGGGTATTTTTAATAAAAGCAAAGGAAAATGAAGGGCTAGATTTAAAAAAACTACTGGAGGAAGTGGTGGTGGTGGTGGTGGAGGTAGTGGTGTTCCACTTTAAAATGCTTGAATGTTTTTGGTCCAAAGAAAGTCAGAATGAGGACACTCACCTGGAATTGGGAGACCCAAATTCAAGTCCCTGATCCTGTGCCTACTTAATTACGTATACAACAGGAAAGACAGAGAATGCCACCCCAGAATAGCCAGTAGCCTAGTGGGTAGGGGCACTCACCTAAGAGGTGGGAGTCCAGCGTTCAAGGTTACTGGATAGAAGGGGCTGCTATGACGACCTTCTCTTCTGGTAATTTTGTGATTGGCATCTAAATTCCCTTGTCAATCTAGGGTCCCCCTCCAAAAAAATTTGTTTTGTTGGAAACTATTCAGCAAATTTGTATCAAATTTGTGAATAGCTTCGGGCAACCTGAAACTTCATTTTTCAGCGAATAAATTATTTGTCCAAAAACTTTAATCAAACTCAAGTTTAGACAGTGAAACAATCTTACCTTTACCACATAAAGCTAACTCCTGCTGCTGTTACTCATGTTGAGTATTACCTACTCTCACAAGTAAAGGTTGAAGAATCTAGTCCTAAACTTGCACATGCAACTTAAATTTTGCCCTCTTGTCTGCAGATACCATAAATCAAGAGTACAACATAACCTCTTGTCTAGATTTACATGTGTATCCTCTTGCAGCTCTGTGTATTACTTAGTATATGCCAGATTTGGCATATGCCAGAGCCCACACAAGTAATTTCCCTGAAAAATACACAGTAAATAGGACCTTCACAACATTCTCTAGATTAAAATATAACACCACAGAGTAACAATGACAATTTATTACCAGGTGGAGGCCACATAAATTTGCAGCTAAATTACCTCCCTAGTTAATTGTTTAATTCTCTGTTCTATTCCAAAGGAAGGTTGTACTGTGATGATCTATACTGCCAGAATAGCTCCATATTAGTGAACTGGCTGAACCCCAAAAATATGCCAAAGCAAGATTGTGCTGCTGATTAAAAAGAAAATGTATAGTACTTGGGAACTGACAAATTTGTTAAAATATGCAGTTTAGAGAGCAGTATTTGTTATCTAATAAATCTCTCAGTAACTTAGAACTGTTCTGGAATATTCTGACAAATTTGTGTAAGCATAAAAGGATGAAAATTACATTCAAGATGCTACATATGCTGTCATAACTATAAAGGGAAGGGTAACAGCCCTCCTGTGTACAATACTATAAAAGCCCTCCTGGCCAGAGACTCCAAAATCCTTTTACCTGTAAAGGGTTAAGAAGCTCAGGTAACCTGGCTGACACCTGACCCAAAGGACCAATAAGGGGACAAGATACTTTCAAATCTTGGTGGGGGGAAGGCTTTTGTTTGTGCTCTTTGTTTTGAGGGTTGTTCGCTCTTGGGACTAAGAGGGACCAGACATCAATCCATGCTCTCCAAATCTTCTAAACAAGTCTCTCATATTTCAAACTTGTAAGTAACAGCCAGGCAAGACGTGCTAGGTTTATCTTTGTTTTCTCAGCTTGTAAATGTACCTTTTGCTAGAGTGTTTATCTCTGTTTACTGTACTTTGAACTTAAGGCTAGAGGGGGTTCCTCTGGGCTCTTTGAATCTGATTACCCTGTAAAGTTATTTTCCATCCTGATTTTACAGAGATGATTTTTACCTTTTCTTTAATTAAAAGCCTTCTTTTTAAGAACCTGATTGATTTTTCCTTGTGTTAAGATCCAAGGGTTGGATCTAGACTCACCAGGAACTGGTGGGGGAAAAGAGGGGGAATGGTTAAATTCTCCTTGTGTTAAGATCCAAGGGTTTGGATCGGTGTTCACCAGGAAATTGGTGGAAGAGTCTCTCAAGGCTACCCAGGGAAGGGAGTTAGCACTTGGGAGTGGTGGCAGCAAAACCAGATCTAAGCTGGTAATTCAGTTTAGAGGTTCTCATGCAGGTCACCCACATCTGTACCCTAAAGTTCAGAGTGGGGAAGGAACCTTGACATATGCATATCCAAGAAAGTAGAGAAAACTATGAGTGAAGTCCTGGCCCCACTGGGGCCAGGCGTTTGCCCTATATTGTATTACTTTAATAACATGATTATGTCATTAAAGACCATAAGATAATTCATATGTATAAACACAGTTAAAGTTGCACATGCAAATTTAATCTTTGCATTTTCTGACTTTTGCATGTTTAATTGTCCCATCTTAATATCCTATTAATGTAGTTTGCCTTGTGAAATATATGTTGAATCTAATGGCACTAACACACACAACCCAGTTTGCTGAGTTGAATTGATATTTCACTTATGTTTTCTGTTGCTTTAAAGCTATTTCAGATCAAAATTCAATAAAATACAACAGTCTGTAGAAGCATGCCTATTTTTGTAAAGAGTACCAAAACAGGGCTTTGACAGCATGACCTGGAAATTCTTAGGGACTGTGAAATACCTGCGGCACCTTACTTTCTAAGTGTGTTTTGTTGAAATAATGGAAATATTTTTCTTTGCAGTATCACGGCTCCTCTCCTGTTATGCTTTTTCTTTGCATGACTTTATAGGAAATTATATTGCTTCTAGGAGTACATTTGTACTGTGTGTACTCTACCTCGGGCTCTCCACTTCATAAATCAGTTCTAAATTTTATCAAAGATGATGTCAGTTCATCCCTCACCTTTATTCCTTGGCCAAGACTCTCAAGAGAATTAATATCCAGACCTTCCTTGCAGGCCTGCAAACAGGAAATCACTTTCTGACTCTCAATTTTCCCTGGCCGGATAGTGAGGCTGGCAAGGCTGCCATGGAAATACTGAGCAAATCTGGGCTTAGCGACTTCCCCTCCTAGAAGAAACAGAATGCAAAATTATTCTGTTGATAATACCCAAATACAGATATTCTAATAACTCATCTTACAATATTGTAACATACAAATATAGGTTTGATATCCAATTTAGTCAAATGCTGTTAAACTCCTGCAATCCCAGTTACTACGATCAAGTGAATGGAATCCCAACTAGAATATGCTTTATGCATTGTTGTGATGGCATCCAGGAACACCACTATATTTAAGGTTTTGTCAGTATTTCAATTATTGTAAACTGCTATTTTCAGTGGTTTCAAAAATGTACTTGTTGTTGAAACATAGCACACAAAATCCCTGCCCAGGAATGAATTGTTATTTCAGAATATGGGAATAAAAAACTATTTGACCATTTTTTAATTTAAACAGAATGCAAACAAGCTAAACTAAATAAAACATTTTTATGAGATTTTGTACACCATTTTATGCTTGCATAGACTAAACATGGGGTTCAATGTATTTGTACATATATTTATTTGTCCTTTTTCTAAACACTTGTCCATCACAACATTCTCTGGCAGCATGTGCATTTCTTTAAAAAAAAAACACAATGCAACTTTATACAATGTTAATTAAAAGTAGACTCCATGCAGAAATTTTGTTTAGCTATAAATTAACATAAACATTGCCTGACCTCATCCCCTCAGGCAAATCCTAAAGAAAAGGTAGGGCTAGCACTGTATTCCTGGAAATCAACAAGACTTGGCCTCTTGAGAACTAACATGAGAAGTGAATTCCAGAGTTGAGGTCCTTCCTCTGTGTACATCCCGCCTCCAAACATGCTAACTATCACTAGATTTGATTGAGTTGGCTAACCAACTGCCATGAACGTGAGGAAATGAACAGAGGAAAAAGAGGCATTCTCTCCAAATTCAAATCCTACAGGAATTCAAACATCATGAATTGCCACCAGAAGTGAATAGAAAGTCATAGATGCATTGGCATACTATAGCCAACTCATTAGGCAAACAGGCTACTTCACTCAAATGCAGCATCTGAGAGGTATTCAAGTATAGCATCATTTTTAGTGGTCAACAATAAATGTTAACAGCCACCACTTGCAAGCAATTGGAGTTACTGAGCTACTCCTCACACTTTGTATAGATCTCCTTATTATCTTCTGGGTACACTTATAGACATTGATGACTAAAGCCTGAGAACCCTCCTCCCCACTCTCTCTCAACACTGTACTCACTACAAAAAAAAACTAGTTATTTCATATATCTATCTATCTATATATATGAAATAACTAGTTTTATATATATATGAAAATACACATTGGAGTAATGGGGTGGGGGGAAGGTTTTGTAGACATAGGTTTGGGATTGTTTCATTGCCCAGTCATGGAAGCAGACATCTCACCATGTACTCTTAAATGCTTTTCTCAGCCAAAAGGCATCACCCTTTGTCTTCTCTGATGGCATCACATATAGCATCACTATTTATCTCAAAGAAAACTCCCCACAGTGAGAAAAAAAATCAGTCTTTTTTCTCCAAGCTGCCCATCATGTAGAAATGTTTCTCTGGATGGATTTTTGCAAAGTACAAGAAAACCTTCATTTTTTTCAACATCTCTAGTTCAGGATTCGTTTCTACTGCACTTAGGCCTTTCAGTATTTACCAGGTTCATAACAACATTTGGAAAATGGTTAGTGTACCAAAAATACATTCAGTTTTCCCCCCAAAAAACCTAGCAATAGCGACATCATTTTTAAGAACACCTACTATTATTTTAGCAGCTAAGTATTTATTTACAGTAAATATTTTTAAAATATAAATTATAGTACATAAGAAAACATTGAATTGAATTAACATTCATTTTCCTTTTGTCAGGAATATCCTCAAACAGAATATAATAGCAAACAAAATACCCTCCACACCCTTCCCCCAAAAATCAGATAAGAGCTAAAAAAATAATAATAAGCGCCTCAGATTGTGCTTTGAAGTTTTGCATGTTCAAACTTTAGCAGACTCCCTAAGAGATCAAGCTTCACAGATGAGGGCCTCTGGCTAAAACCCCGACACTGATCCTGGAGTTTTAAACTTCAGAAACCAATAGCAAGAGTTTGCCAACTGATCTGAATTGTTGTAACGTGATGCAGGATGAGAAGTACAAAATTCAAGGATTTAAAGATTACAACCAATTCCTTAAATCGTATCAAGAAACAAACATGAAGTTAGGGCAATGGTTTCAGTGTAGGTGATCTCCACTCACAGGGGCTCAGTAGGTAGGCATTCATTCTACACTAGATGGAGTTTCTGGGGAGATTTCAAGGAAAGCCATGCCCACTATTTAGGGTGAACCGCCGTTGTCTGAAGGTGACAACACTAAAGATGATCATTGTGTGGTCAGTGTTATAGAGGGATGATTCTAGCATCTTGGCCAGGTTGTAGAGAATAGAGTGATGCACAGATTTCTTTGCTTCTTATTAGTCTGGGTTTAGACCATTCACTTTGTAGTTGGTCACTACTGGTTTGCCAGCTTCCCAGAGATCAATCATACAGCTTCATAGTCCTGGCCAACACTGAAATATGGACACTGAAGGGAAACAATAATGAACTTGCAGGACCAAGTTGGGCGGGGGGGGGAGGGTTTACAGAGAAGGATGAAGAAGGCATGATAGAATAATATTTCCTATCATCTTTTCCCATTAGATTAGCTGGAATGTCTCACTGGGGTCCTTCCTTGACATTCCCTTACCCTGTCTGATACTCCCTAAGCATATATAAGGAAATACAGTAGTAACATCTACAATCCAACTGAAGCTACATATTGTGATTGATTCCAATATATCATTTGAAGAAGTCTTTATTGCGTCATTTAAAATTACATAATTGACCATGGACCATACTGAATACACATAAAGAGAATGTGCCAAAAACCCATTTGTAAAATCCATTTAAACTGGTTTACAAGAAAGAGCAGAATGACCATCTGAAGCTGTTATAATCTCTGAGGTATAAAATTCTTGTTTTAAAAATCAGCTGTCATGCTGGGAATCAATGAACTTCCACAAACCTTATATGATTTGCCCATAACTATTAAAATAATTATTGTACTGCAAGTCTACGGTCAGCAAGTGCACGAATCTGACAGCCGGCCAGTGATTAGCTTCTAGAGGTGCAGAAGGGGCAGGAAGGGTGAGAGGAGCATTTCCCCCTTTAACCTCTCCTTTTCCTCTATGCAGGAGCTGCTTGCAATGGCAGTGATTGCATTCACTTGATTGCATGGGGCTATGATTATTAATGGAGCTAATCACCCCAAAAGGGGGACAGGGAAGGCCCAGAAAAAGAGGGGGTCATGCCTCCCCACTACGAACTGGCCACCTGTGAAAGGAAGCTCGTGTTTTCCCTGTGGGATGTAGCAATGGCTGTGCTCTGCCCTGATTGCTGGGGAGTTTCAAGATAGGTTGAGAGTCTGCACAACTCCGCCCTCCCCCCATTTATAAAGGCATAAAACCAAGAAGTTGGTTTTCATGTAAGAAGCCATGACCATTTCCTAGAAATGGCCTATTAGAATGCTTGGTGGATGCAGAAATGCCAGAGGCACCAAAAATATCTGAAGCAATATGCTCAGATACTACTCTGGTGCTTACACACAATGATTTTGGTGTCTATACAAATATATAGCTATTTCAGATAGATCATTTCTGGACTAGAACAAGCCGATTCACTGTAAACTATGATGATGATATCAGGTACTAGAACAGAAAACCAGGAACTTTTAGAGTTATGGATAATGAGACTTAAAAATGAGCTAGAAACATCATGAAACAAAAGTTCAGGCTATGCCTTCTGACATAACTGACACCACCATCTCTGAGTGAAGAAGAGCTCTGTGTAAGCTCAAAAGCTTGTCGCTCACCACCAGAAGTTGGTCCAATAAAAGTTATCTCACCCTCCTTGTCTCATCACAGTATAAATCAGCAAATTATGCCCACAAGCCCCTAAGTCAGATAAGATTGTTCATTTAAGCTTTACATTACTGCAAAGGTGGAGAATTGTGTCCTTCCTGTTTGCTTTCATTTACAGAGGCATGCTGTTTTCTTCATAGGGTGGGGTAATTTCTACTAGAATAAACAGGAATGATTGTACACGCATGCTTAGAAAGGAGAATGCATCTCATAGTTTGTTGAAATAGACCAATGAATAAGCCTTCCATATATTATTAAGCACTATTTAGCAGAGATGAAGAGAAAATGATGTACCTGTCATTCTTGTCCTCTCATGGTAAATACCAGTAATTTTAACTGACCACCATCATGGGTCTCATAGCACATGGACATTTTGTAATATTTATAGCTTGATGTTTCAACAACTCAGACATCTTCTCAGACCAATGAGCCTATATCAACTTATTGTGCACTTCAACAGCCAGTAACTGCCACTGCCATGCAAAATGAACAAAATATACAGTAAAACAAGAACCAAAAACCAAAGCTTTCCCCAATTCTGAAGGCAAAATTGATGGGATGGGTGAGTGCTGATCTGTTATAACTCTGTAGTTTTCTGTTTTCCAAAGGTACAAAATAAGAGTTCCCCACTCTGTGAAGAATAAAAAGTGTCCCGTGTTTCTATAAAATATTGCTAACTGGTAACACATAAAAAACTTGTTGCAAATGGAATTTCCAATAGCAGTATAGAATCAGTATGTGATTATGGACAGTAATGGTAATAAGAACAAGCATTTTTATTTGGGAGCAGGATATTCTTCTTCTAAAGACACCTCTAACTCCTCTGGGGCTCATTGTGATCTAGTTTTATCCTTGTGTAACTCCATTTAACTTCGGTGCTTTTGCTCTTGATTATACTGGTACAACTTAGATCAGAATCAGACCTATTTACTTCAACAGAGTTGTATCCAGTTACCTAATGACTGAATTTGACCCATAATACCTAAAACAAACTTACTTCAACAGAGTTGTATCCAGTTACCTGATGACTGAATTTGACCCATAATTCCTAAAAATAAACACATGCT